ACTAGTGAGCCTTTTGTAGACTCACTGGTTAACTGGTTAGGCTACAAGAGGCTTTCACTAGTTAACTAGTCAGTATTTTGCCCTTCACTACTTAAGTCGTTGGTTCTCACTAGTTAACTAGTGAAGGAAATTCGAGGTCACTAGTTAACTACTGAGGAGAATCCACTGTTATTATCCATGTTGCACCTCCACCCTGCACTCCTGTAAATTCTTGTAAATAACTACAGTTCTATGGATCTTATTTAAACTTAATTGCACTACTACAGTTATCTTTATTTTTAGTTGCTTTTATTGTTTAGATATTTTTACATTTTTATTTTGTACCCTGTGCCTTACTGTATATTTATTGTTGCACCAACCCACCAGAACAAATCCCTCGTATTGTGCAAACTATACCTGGTAAAAAAATCTGTTTCTGATTCTGAACGTGTTGCTAAAAATGAGTGACTAGTCAGAGTTTTTGTGCAACTAGTGCGGCAAAGTGCACATCTAGTGCGGCTGAATGTCCACTTAATGCTGGACTAGTGAAGAAGACCGATGCCTGATACCGAGGATGAGGAATAAACGCTCTGAGGGCTTTCCAGTCATCGGCACGTGCCCGCCTGCAGAGGGCGTCGCTGCACCTTATATGGAAAAAGCCCTCCGCCTGTCACGTGACAGCCTGCGGCGCGCTCCGCTGTGCACCTGCACGAGGAGGAGGAGGAGGAGGAGGAGAGGAGGAGGAGGAGGCGGGGGGAGTTCGGATGCTTGCTGGAGCTGCGGGCTGTTCACACGAATTCACCACAAGTTCTCGGACCAAGTTTCGCTGGAGAAGTGCTGGAATAAGCTGCGTCAGGAATGGAGCTTTCGACGGCCCGGTTCTGCTGCGTCCTGTTGAGCCTCTTTACCGGTAAGTTTGGCGTCAGCAGCCGCCGCTCAGCTACTTTAAATCTGATGATTGTTTTTTTTTTGTTTCCCACTAAAACGCGGCGAACCAGCCTCCCGGTGGTCAGTCCGGTACCGAGACGTTAGCCGCGGACGGTGACGGGCTTTTTACGGTGAAACGTGGCCCAGTTTCGCTGGTGTTGTCCGAGTTAACCATTAACCAGTAACTTGAATGATTAACGGAGCGTATCTGAGTCCAGTTTGAAGAAACTGCTCAACAGGGAGGAACTCCGACCCAAGGTCAGTTCAGTTAGCTAGCTCAGCGGAACCAGCCCGAACCCGGGTCAGAGTCAAATCCTCAAAGTACGATAAAGTTTGGATGTTGGAGAAGAATTCCTGTTTGGCTCATTAAAGAAGAAAAAGAGAAACACACAAAAAAAAGACAGAATAACACACATTTGAGCAATATTTTGTGTATTTTTTGCACCACACAGGACTTTTATTGACATATTACACTTATTGTATATTTTATATTTCCCTATTGTTTATATTTTCTTATTTATTTTGCCTGTTTATCAGTATTTATGGTGATGGTGATGATTTTTTCTTGTGCTGCAACAACCAAACTTCCCCTTGGAGATCAATAAAATCTATCTATCTATCTATCTATCTATCTATCTATCTATCTATCTATCTATCTATCTATCTATCTATCTATCTATCTATGGCCTCCATGTGACACCGGTTTGGTTTACACCAGGCTAATTCTAATATATATATATCTAATTGAATTGAGGTGGTAGATGGTATTTAGTGGCCAGAGATCAGTCCCTGGCCAACACAATAGCTTGATCCTCTTTTAAACCTGTGGCTGCAGGACTTCAAAGTGCTGGCCTCCCCGTCTGCCATCTGCCAGCAGATCCACCCCCCTCCCCAACCAGACCGTCCCCTTCCCCAGACCCGTCACATCCACCTAACCACATGTTAGCATGTGTCGACAGCTTTGTTTATGCTGGTATCACTCACGCATTTAATCATTTCACTGTCAAGACTTCCACTGAAGGTCCCAGTGACCCCCCACCCAGCTGGGAGGCTGTCTGACGCTGGAGGTGGATAAACTGTGAAATGTTTGATAAGAACGGTTATTTTTGAACCTCCTCCTGTCAATGATTTACCAGCAGTATTGAGCTATTTGGTTTCCTCTCATTTACTTTTTCATTTGAAGCAACACGTGGCGATGATTTTAATTTCTGATATGGCTTATTTATACATTTCAGACCCAAAAAACAAATACAGAAACAATCCTTATTTATCTAATTGTCAAAACTACATAATGTCAGTGACAAATCCGCCTCATGTTTATGTAACTGTAGGAAGTGCGTGGTTTTAATTTCATGAGGGTGTGGCCGTCCTGCGCTGGAATCTACACTGAAACCAGCAGGTCACTCCTCCCACTCACAAACAATAGCGTGAAACTTTTTTTCTTCCGGCCTCTTGTCATCGCCATGCAGTTGTAGTTATTGAAATATCGTCTGCGATTTTAATGGGAAGCCGCATAACCGCGGCCACAGCAGTGACATTCCAGTCTGCTTATTAGTGCGAGATTGAATGTAATGAAGAAGTGCTTTGTTTGGGATCTTCCAGCACATCTCTTTATGTAAAAAAAAAAACAAGGGTTATTGAGTGTGATATAAGGTCTATGTAGTGTGTTGTTTAGCCATCTTTTGTCTCCTGATTCACATTGTTGTGTACACTACTTTGGGCTCATTACCATCTTAATGGCACTATGGTCTCATCATTTGGGCTCCGTTCCACTTCAGCGGACAAGAACAGTATCTGCCAGAATTGTGGGCTTCTTTTAATGTGGCTTAGAAATACACAGCGATGTGCTAACCTCTAACAAGTAGGGTCTTTCTGCTCCATTTTCTTTGTCCTATTTGTCCATGAGACACTGCGTGGAATGTAAAACGTCGACAAAAGAAATAAAAGCGAGCGGGGGAGAGATGTGAAATCCCTAAAAACCAGAGCAAATAGTCAGAATCTGTAAAATATTCATGGAGCCTTCAGATTTTAAAAATTGAATTAAATGAAATCATTGTGTTTGTGTCGGGCGTCATTCTGGGTTTTTTTTTTTTAAGGTTTCAGGTAGATGTCAACAAGAGATAAATAGTCAAATACTTGGTTTGTAGTGATGTTCACAGTCTTTAATGATATGAGTTAGGGTGTGTTTTTCTCAGGGACAAGAACCAGAAAGACTGCTGACCCGTATTTGCATCTGACACACGGTTGCACAAACCCCAACTTAATTTAGTTAAAGTGCCTTCATGCTTGACAAATTAAACTAAAAGGGGGCTTTTCAACATTTATCTGTCAGTGTTAATTGGCTGTAAGTTGTGATCTGTAACCAATCAGAAGGCCGTTTCTCAGCACCACAGAATTTATTTTATCTGGAATTGATTTAAATATGCAATTAATTGGAAAAGTTATCTGACTTAGAAAATCGGTCAGGCTGATTCTTGGTTGACCACTAGCTTGCATGCTTGGTCAGTTGGTTTGTGTTGTCCCACCAACTACCTGAAGCTCTCTGATCTGTTTTAAATGTCGATCCCTAGTAAAAAACATGCTTTATGGTAAAGTGATGAAATTTGTATTTCTAATCCTCAAGTTAACAAACAACAGAAAAAACTGTCTTGACTCCTAAAGATAGTGTAGGTGTGAAAATACTTGTTTTATAGGGGCTCCTTTTTCATTTCTTGTGGTGAGTTTGGTTGTTACTGGTTATCAGTCAATGTGCTTCCTGCCCCAGAGAGCCGACTGATTGGTTCCTTATTCAGTGAATGTCAACAAAGAGCTTCTCCATGAAACACTGTTTATTTATCAGTCACAAGACACTATGGTTAACCCTGCGTGGCATGTCCATCCTCCTCCTCCCTTATCAGAAGACACCTCTTGATTTAGATGTGGCAGGTTCTGTTCTTAAAACAACTACCATCCTATACAGCTGAGCTGGATTACGTTTTTAGGGCAGCATATTTTCAGCCTGATTACATTTGTTTGAGGCAGAAATGGATTTCCAATCTACGTATCTGTCATTTGTTTTATTGCTTCGCTGTTGCTCCTTTTCAGTCGACCAATCGTACATTAGATGGGGTTGGACTCAGAAAATTGAGGAGAAGCTTCAAGCACGTTGTAAAGGGTTGGATTTTAACCCAAACTGTGATTTTTCTTATTTTGATTCAAGTTTTTAACGTGTGGTTGTGAAAGTACCGACCAAAGTAGGACGTTTATGGTGCCTAAACCCAACATGTCTGTGGAGATTGTCAGTCCTCCAGGTCGTGGTTGTTCTCGTGGATTAATCGTAGCAACTGCTTGAGTTCCTTGAAGACGTTCCACCTCTCATCCAAGAGGCTTCATCAGCTCTGACTGACTAGTTGGGAGTTCCAGATATCCTTAAGGAGCCGTTAACGCCTGAGTTTCGGCTTCATTTGGGGATTTGTTGCTCCTCCCGCTGCCTAAACCGAACTAAGCAGCAAGTTGAACTGACAGTGAAATCTAAATGTCTAAGTATAGTCGACAATAATCACCTCAGATGTGACGTGAACCTCCTGACAAAAGTTCTGTTGCCGCATAGACCACCATCCGTCCCTCCTACCTCCAGACTTTGTGGCGTCTTTACACTGGAAACCTTTCGTACAGTGTCATAGCCTTACCTACAGGTTGAAAATCTGTTTCTTTCAAATTATAAATGTCAGTGCAGTCTAGTTGCTATAAGTGTTGTAGAGGACTTGGGTGGTAGCTCCGGTACATTACTGCAGGATCTTCCCTGGTCCTCTCCCCTCCTGGTTGTTTGGGTCCAGAACGAGGCCGTTGACCTGGGCCCAACAGAAACCTGGGGAAAATGTGAGCAGGCGCAGAAGGCAGTTACCTGATAAGCCTACAGCCCCAGCCCTGGCCAGAGACCGGTTGCTTGGTTACCTTTTGAAAACAGACGTGCAGATACAGGGAGTGTGTGCGCTCTGCCTGCTCCAGAAAGCTACCCTCCCCCTTGTTTGTGTGCATGTGCTAGGTTCCCTTTTACAGCAGATAAAAAACAAATCCCTGTGTGATTTTGCTCAGTAGCTTTTGCAGATGAACTTGAAACACTAGAGGTTTGAGTTCTTTGGATAAGAGCGATTATTACAAAACAGTGTGTAAGAAAAAACGGGACCCACGAAGAAACGTTGGGTGGAGGCACGAACCTGAGTCATTGTCATTGGCCTCACGCAGACAATCATGACTAGAGGTCACATTTACTTGTCATGACCCAGCAGTCTAATGGCACTACTTGGCCTCCTGTTGGCTGAAACATGTTGCAGCCACGGCTTCACCTCCAGCCAAAGCACCCACTCCACCCAGAGCCCCCTGTCCTTGGAAATAAAGCAGGGACATGTAGAATCGGATTACACTCCAGGGACACTGCTCTGTCCTCCACAATCTGACGATGGGGACGACCGCACATGAATATTCACAGCACCAGGCGTTAATATTTTAGCATGCCGGCCCCGTACGAGCCTTGTGCCAACTGCTGCTCACCTATATGGGAGTGTGAAATGCTGATCCTACCTTTACCTTGCCACATTAGCCATCCTCTCCTCTCCTCCACCTTCCATTTCACATCTGAATTACTGAATGAACAAATTACTTCCTGCTAGAGAATCAGTGAAAATGATTAATCGTGGTGCTTGCGTCGGAGTCCTGTTAATGGTTTGGCCGGCCGCTTTGTATTCAGAGCTCATTCCTTTTTCACAGGTAGGGAGTAAAACTGCATTCTGGGGCTGCTGCCAAAGCATTTTTGTGGGAAGATATATTGGAAAGATTTTACTCGGACCCCTCGGACGTAAAGTCAATGTTACACTGACGGATCCATAATTCAAGTGTGTGTGTTACACACCTATCTAACTTCTCCGACAGTTTGGCCACGGCGGTGACCTACTGACACCACCAGTGAAGACACCGTTGTATGCAAATCGAATTATGTGCTTTATT